GCATTGCCATAAGAAATTTTATTTACAATTAAATGTTGGTAAAAATAAAAAAAAATGTTGGTCAACCTTATATGGGATATTGAATACGTTTTCCACGACCTCGTTTCTGTTACACTTTCTCACTTCATTGTTACACTTACTTCCTCAACTAATATTTGCACTAAAAAATTGATTTATTTTCTACATTGGAAAACTGTTCTTATTCGTTCCTCGAGAGACAAACCATGATTATTCTAGACTGAGAATCGCTATACATCAACATGCATACATGTATAAGGAAAAATATAATTTATTATTTTGTAAAAGAGCGATGGCAGTTGATGATTATTACACTACAAAGGTTTGATTTACATCAAAGCTATATTAGTTATTAATAAGCGAAAATTCTCAACGGGGAATTAAACTGATAATAAGCCAGAACCAATTTATTTCTGTTTATTGCATCGGGCTTTGACGTGAAATATCAAAGTATAATTCTCACCATTACAATAGAAATTGATGATAACCACTCAATTTTCCTATCCAAATATGCTAAATCAAATCAAATATGAAAATCTAATGGAAAATCAACGCTCTGTATAGGTTGTTCGCTAATTTGTATGGAAAATTATGAAAATGCTTTTCCGTGATTATAAATATATTTAACTTTGAGTGAACGAGGAAAACAATCTAGCTTAAAATAAACTACAATACAAGAAAATTCATGTAACGAAGTCTTTTTTGCGAGAAAAACTTAGAAAGTTCGAATCTAGGACATTCTGGTCTATAATTCAAGTAGTACACATTAACAACCAAATTTTACATTTTCTTGTTAAGAATCTGTACGATTTTACTGTTGTTTGTATTATCTGTGTAAGCTGTAAGCGTTTTGGCGGGAAGTTATTATCTGTGCTAAAGATTAATAAGTTATGTCGCTCCACAGAATATAATTGAACTTTTAATGGAATAAATTATAGAAGATGTAATTAATGGAATTATGTTTTAAATCATTAAAAAAGCTCCTTCAAACATACCAATTTGACCGATTTTCGTTAATTAATACTTACTTAAATTATGTTTGAGGGATAAGCTGACGGCAGTAATATCCTTGTGGCTTATCTAGTCTGCCTCAATCTTTCGTTTCACAAACCCAGTTAAGTACTCCTCTGACCCAAATGGCGTCTCAGCTAAGTCGTACGTCAGTGCGGTTCCCTCTATGCGAGACACGTCTCCCATTAGGTAATTACTCACACGTTGACTTACACTAATGTCAACTAAGAAACACAATTTGGATACCTATACTATAATATCTTACCGAATCTTTCCACATGGCTAAGTGTTATCGAACCTTTCTGTAGCTAAATGGTTAAGCGTGTTGCCTATCTTTCCGACCGAAACAGTAATTTGTTTCGGTCTGGCTTATAATTGGTAATAATTAGAGAATAATTTTGCAATTTTTTTTTTTGTATAAAAAGTATAAAAGCGCTACTGTTTCGCAGACGTATTTCAATACGAGTATATTCGTGTTACATTTTCAAATTAACGGAACGGAAGGTAAACTTCAGAAAAAAAAACTATATTTCAAATTGTAACGGACAAAATGTTAGTTTTAAACGTTTTTTTAACGCAAATAACTTTTTTGGCACTATTAAATATGAATTTACTTTTTAGAGTGAATGAATTCTCAATCTTGAATTAAATGTTTACTCCTGTTTCATTTTGCTTAGCAATTCTAATATTTTTAGGCACAATACGAACAATAAAAATTAGAAAAGTAATTAGAAAGTAACAATATAATTAAAAATAATATAAATTAACTTTTAAATCCAGTGATTGTTCCATGCGATTGCTTGTGACGTTTTCACCCAAAAACTACTTAACTTACTACATCAGATAATTACATGAATATATCTCAAAATAATCATTACTTGGAGCAAATGTGGCGTACTTAAATCTACGATCGATACTATTTACAAACATTTATACAAATTTATCAGTTCATTGTAGTGAATGTACGATACTTCCTGATTGTATATTACTTACACTCTTTTCCGTATATCGATGTATGCTACTGCTAATTGAACAAATTAGTTTATTTTAATAGCTTCCTTTTCTAACTGGTCAATTTTGAAAGTGAGTGGAGAGTGAGTAATAGTACAAAACAATATTTATTGCTCATGCGCACAAGTGTGACCTCACAGCCTACATTTCATCATCGTCGCTACGATCAAAGACTTCGATTAAGAGTTTTCCTGGACTGTTACGTCTTAGTTCATTTCTTTGTATAAATGTTTGTAGTTATTTCGATTATTTTCCTGTTTGATTTTTTAGTCTACAGCCTAACATGACAAGTTTTGGATCGCAGATTTAGCAATTGGGGGATATACAGAAATATGATTCATGTTGTCATTATCTTTCAAACCTCTTTTACTTAAATGAAACACTTTCAAATGTTTAAAACCTGAAATCTATACGTTACCTTATTTTTATTCCCTCCTCACCATGATAGCAGTCGTCCTAGTACAAATAGATAAACAAATATATTTCGAGTTTTAAAGGCACAATATTATGATGTTAAACCTAACGAAGATGACAGTTTAACAATTATATATGGTCTGATTAAGAGTTTTCTAAGAAAGCTCACGTTCTAGGTAACTTTGCACCCATCTGCAATGAATGAATTAAAAAGTATTTTCCTTCTATCATGTCGCGTATTTGTAATTTGACTCGTGGATATTCCAAGAAGGTTGAACGCACACTTCCCCGCACAGAATAATAACACAAAACAAGAGAGCACAGTTTATTTAAACAGTAGGGGCAACTATGTAGTGTCAACGCAGCAGCCTTATTTCCGGTTAATTTTAAAGGTAAATATGCAAATCTGTTTGAAACAAACTATTTGTCTGTTGTAAATTGTATACTTAAAAAAACAGTTCATTTCTATAATAATTTGTTATTTGTAATGTCTTATAAAATAACTATATTTTCTCTTCAAATATTCTAGACGAAATAATAGTTTCAACTGAAAAATTACAACGTGTTAATAATTCAATCAATTTGAATTGCTTGTACTGTGTTTGCAATGTGCTTAATTTCTTTCACTGTGCCCAACGGGTTCAATTACACTGTGCCACAACCCACACATTCGTAAAGTTATTACTTGTACTGGTATGTACGGACGTGCGTCGCAAGCGCAGAACCCAACGGCCAACACAGTCGTGCTCAGTTTTAGTTATTGATCGACGTTTTTGTGGGAAATTGCAGTGAAATTAAGTGTTTTGTTGAAATTAATTACAATAGTGACTATTGCAGTTATCTAGAAGTTTAGGATTGTATATAACTAAGGTCACCTATACTTTTATTTATTTCATTGTGTTAAAATCCATTAGTTATGGTTTTATGTTTTAAACGAAAGGTTATAGATTGATTGGAAGGATGTTTGAATTAATCAATGAATCTAAGTATTTATTTAATATGGATACAATATTACTTTTCCATATCTCGATATTTTTTTCTTTACTTTATTTAGATTATAAATATTTTTTCAAATAAAAGTTGTCATTGTTTTATCAGTCACTCTTATTTTTAGTTACTGTCCAATGACATGCAAATTAAATAAAAAATTAAACCGCTCAACCGATTTTTATACAATTATCTGTTCCGTTTTCCTCATGACGATGAGCGAAGGTTTTTGCGATATGCAAAAAAGTTATTATCGTTTACCTACCTACTTGTTTAAATTCACTTAAAGAAAGGTGATGATAAAAAATATGTCGCAATTTATTTATACAAAATTCGATTTTGTTACTCTCATCTGTAGTCCTGCGTGGGGGAATGAGACATTTTTCTGTGTCCGTCTCGCTAATAGATATCAATGTGAAGGTCTGGGCACATTCTGTTTTTTTTTTGACGTATTCAGCATCATGTCTTTGTTGATGGAGGGTAGCATAGGAAAAGCTACTCAAAAAGATCTCGACCCACCAACCTCGACCTTACTAGCTAGTAAGCAGCAGTAGCATATCGCCAATGTTTATCGTTATAAGAAATCAAATAACTTTCTCATGACTAGCTCATACCTACGATGTCACATAATTTACGTATAGAGCATACAATTTTAAACCATGTGCCATTGTAATAGGTGTCACATTTATTTATTTTCTCTCTATTAAGAACGACGTAGATAATAATTGGCTGAGTCGTTCACGTAACGTTTATAATAACTACACACGATATGTGGAGAAATTATGAACCTCATACATGTCTGCGATTGAAAAATATACAACACATTTCAATAAAACATTTTTAACGGTTTGAAATGTATTATAAAACTTATTTACAATGTATTTTAACTATGATCCGACGTTGCGGATGCTTTTCCGTTGTCTCCCATGACTGCTAGAATACATTGTAAATAAGTAAATTAATACATCGCGTTTGAAATCGTTAATAGTGTTTCATTCTTAATAAAAAGCATGTTATCATTTTTCGTATTTTTTTTAAAATTAAACAAAAACATGTGAGAATCATTTAAATAAAACACTTTAACGGTTTAAAACGCGATATATTAGTTAAACTTATTTGAAAATGATTTTTAACTTCGTCTTTTGTCTCCCCGTGACCACGGCTGCTGCAAAGCATCCGAAACGTCGGGCCGAAGTTAAAAATCATTTTCAAATAAGTTTAACTAATATATCGCGTTTTAAACCGTTAAAGTGTTTTATTTAAATGTGTACTACTCGCGTAAACTATAGACAGTATTTAATGTGAGAATCATATAAATGTTTTTAAATATAACAACAACTATAAAAAAAACATTTAGAGAAGATATTCTATAATCGTTCGTGACTAAATAAAACAATCGAGTGCGATTTATTTTTCCATAATTCATGCTCTTGTGCATAAATTACACAAACATTAAACTATTGTTCTGTACTGACTTAGAAATTATAATAAAAATATTGCATATATTGGATGGTGTACATAAACTAGGTGTTAATAAAAGATTATTATTTACAGACAAAATGCAGTTAGCGACTAGTAGTTGGTGTTGCGGTGGCGACTTAAGGTTAAAATGTTTTGTAATTGGATATTTAAATTTGGTAAGTATACTGTTTATGTATATAGATCTACAAAATTTATATCATAGATGTTTAGTTACTAGGAGGGACGAAAACATATTCGTTCACAGGAATCAAAATCAAGCCCATTTTATGCTAATTGCGGAGCTAAGCAACCAAATATCTGTTTATAATAAAATGAAGTAACATCTTTATTGTTAACAGTCGTTAACAATCAAACACATTTGACTCACTTCCGTTCATTAACAAATAGAATACATTAACTTAATGATAACAAAGTAGGTCAAAGAAATGTAGAAGAATAACATCATAAGGAATTCTTTATAAATGCACTTTGCCATTCGGTTCAATACGTCGCGGCATTTATTCCCATTCAGTTCATTGGGCTGTGGGTCTTATTCCCACTCGGCTCAAAAAAACTTTTTCAGGTATTTTTCTAATCATGCCAAAGTGCCTAAGGAATAACAATAAAAAATAAGGTTAAAATGCATCCTTAACAGTTTCACAAATAGTTAAATGTTATACACAATATAAAAAACAAAACGTCGATAAAAATTACATGAAATTAGACAAAATTTTATATAAGGGTTGACAAACAAACAAAATTAATTTACTTTTAACTAAAAACTAACCGACGCTAACATAATTAAATTGAAAGACCTAAGGAGAGATAGGCGATCTTTTTAATGATTTTTTTTATGAAGCAGTAGAAGAGTGCAAAAACAAATCGATCGAAATAATCCGGGGAGGAACACATTCTGTGGAGTGGCGTGCGGAACCCAATAATTTTCTTAACAATAATAATCTTATTTAATACCAAACTTCCTTCATAAACTTTACATAGAATTTATTATTGAATATACTAAGTACTGTCTATAGTTTACGCGAGTAGTACACATTTAATTAAAACACTTTAACGGTTTAAAACGCGATATATTAGTTAAAATTATTTTAAAATTATTTTTGACTTCAGCCTGACGTTTCGGTTGCTTTGTAGCAGCCGTGGTCACGAGGAGTCTAAACATGGAGGATGTCACGGTATCTCCCCGTTTAATATATCGCGTTTTAAACCGTTAAAGTATTTTATTTAAATGAATATACTTTTAAATAAAACACTTAACGGTTTAAAACGCGATATATTTTAATTGAACTTGTTTGAAAATTATGTTGAGCTACGGCCCGACGTTTATGATGCTTTGCAACAGCCGTGGTCAGGGTATCTCCCCGTATAATATATCGCGTTTTAAGCCGTTAATGTGTTTTATTTAAATGTGAACTACTCGCGTAAACAACAAACAGTATTTAATTAATATACTTGAACATTACACTTATATATATATTATACTTGAACAGACAGTATTTAATTAATTTCTTAAGATCTACTTGGTTTTATTTTAACTAAATCTGTGTTCGTCCGCTATTTTCTATTATTTGGTCTACCTCTGCATTTCAAATGTATTTGTACGTCTAAACACTAGACAGTATGTAATTAAACCAAAACTCACCCGCATCGCGATGTAAAACTGCTGTGTACTCGTTGTTTAGACACGTACGTGCAATTTTGAGAGGAAATTTAGTGCATTTTTGTCACAGGTTGTATGGAGCTTTTTGTAATTTGCCTTTTATGGGGACCTTAAGTATTATTTCTGTTGTCATTTTACCAACAAAGAGCTCAAAGGAAATATTTGAAACATACATATTATAATATCGAATTCGTGATTTTTTCACAATATTATACGAACGACATGTAAACACAAATAATCACAACAGAGTCATTCTTTTTAAACATTTCTTTCAATCGAAAATATGGTTCAAGACATTTTTTTACTTAAAAAATAATTAAAAAGTAATAGTACAATTATAATATATTTTTTTTATACATAGAAAAAAAGTTTGACACTGGCGGGACTTGAACACACGGACACAGTAACTCAATTAATTACAGCAGCAATGAACGCTGTGGAAGCCGGTTCGAGACCCGGCCGTGTTGTATTTTTATCGACTTTAATAGATTTGAATATAAAGAAAACTTATCAAACTATTATTGTTGATTTTCAAACTCATACTTTGTCATACGATTGTTACCAGACATTACTTCTTTCAGATAGCGAGTGTCGTCGATATTGGGTGTCATCTACTAATTGTGGCAATTATATCCAAAGGCTTCCAATGCGATATTGATCGAGCGAGTGTGAGTATTACGATTATACTATACACAGGTGATCCACAACGCAACGCAACGCAACGCAAAGGCGCAAGAAACATTGCTGAAAAACTACTTATTTTGAACAAAAAACAACTCCTTAGACTCAATACTGTAATAAGATTCCCAGCATCATATGACAAGGGCATAAGCCACACTGTATTTATTGTCAATTGTCTTAACAGACCACTTTAGTAATGCCTGTCTATAGATAGACTGTGAATTAATTTTATCCTTAATTTGAATTAAGTAAAATCACGTTTCCCTCCCGTGGGGCATGGGGCGATCACATTTTTGTGTTCGTTTCACTGATACGTTCTCTAACAGGCAAGTAATTGACCAAACTGTGCCCTGCCCGACCGAAACAATTTTTTGTTTTTCTAAGATTCGAACCCAAGACCTCTCGCGCTTAATGCAATGCTAGGCAATACGTTTAACCATTGGGCTACAGATACGGTCTAATCGAAATTCTACATATAACTCTAAAGATCTAATCTTCGGCCGTCGTAATTGAAAAGTGGCTTTTCATTCAGGACTTCATCGAAAGATGTTAGTCATCAATTAAGAAATCAATTTCTGATGATAGATGATGCAAAATGGCCGCGATAGCCCGGTCTAACAATCAGAGCTTTTGTTAATATATTTAATCATTTTGGTCCTTTACAGCTTCAACTAATAGATTGGCCCTGGCTGGAGCCAGTTCTCATAGTCTTGAATGTGGGAACACACGGATTCTACTCCTTCCCTCTGCTTCTCCGTTCATATAATGACATCTCTATCGACTACTTGCCTATAGTAGTGGAGCCAAGATGCTACCCTGGAATGCTCCACGTTCATCTTATTGACATTTTGAACTTCCTTATCAATGCTATCTGGTTCAGATTCGTCTTATCTTTCGTTGGAGCTTTGCATAGGGTAAGTTGAATGTCAATTTATATCACAATGCAAAAACTTCAATATATATAATATATATAATTCATAACATCATATATAAATATAGCATGTTATAAGATGTTATGCGATGGTGATATATCAACATATTTGTTAATCTTTACGTTAAAAGCACTGCATTTATTTTAACGATATTTCATACATGTAGTTGATAAATTAGATGAATATTCTATTTTGGTTCCTCTTCAAATAGAAGTAAAGTCTTCATGTATTTTTTAAATTGGTTATTTGTTAAATTTTTGTTGTTTGTGTCATGGCTCAATGATTAATCAATTGAATTATGTGCAAATGGTCGCAGGTTCAAATTTCGCGAAAACATGTTCCATACAAAGGATGGGTAATCGTTTGTTGACATAAAGGATTACTTTGTCTTTTGTACTTTAAAGACAGTATTATTTAACTATTAACATAAAAACTGATCGAGCGCGTTAACGGGTTATAGAAAGACATTTCAAACATGAGTTATGAAGTTTATATTATGCACGTCTGTTTGTTTTATTGCAGAAAGATCCTGAACCAATACGTATGTTCTACGGTGTATCTGTGCTGAAGTTGGTTCTACAAATTCTTTACATCGCTTACCAACCTGGTCTTGATGTTTTCTCCTTGGAAGGGTCTTGGGTTATAAAGATTGTTGATATATGTAAGTATTCCAGTATCTCAGTTTAATAGAACCAGGCAGAGCTTACTAAAGCGTCCCGAAGCGACAAGATTAACTTCTAAAATCGATAAAGGTGGATCTGGATAAGGGAATAGCTGGAAAAAGTAGATTGGAAGTCTTTGGGGCCAGTCCATGTTAAGACGTGAACAGCGTACGGCTAAAACGAACAAATGAAAGAAGTAGTACTGTTTTATACGTAAAGATTTTTATAATAGAGGAGGATAGATACGCACAGGGTTTACTTGGTGGAAGATGCGTTGTCGATCTATTTTGGGATTAGATATTAAACAAGACTGAAATCGAAAAGCGATTAAGCTTCAGGCCTTTTAAATAAAACACTTTAACGATTTAAAACGCGATATATTACTTTCATTCAGGCCTCTAATGTGTACTGTGATTCGTAAACGACGAATTTTAATATTCACACTATCCTACTACAAATGGGTAGTAAAGTACAAAAGAGTCATTTCTTACTTAATAGTATGTGAAATCACGTTTCCCTTCGTGGGGCCAAGGGCGAACACATTTCTGTGTCCGTTTCACTGATCGGTTTTATTTACAGGCAAGTAGTTGATCAGACATCTGGCCCTGCCCCGACCGAAACAATTTACTGTTTCCCCGGGATTCGAACCCAGGACCTCTCACCCTCTCAACTATTTAACTACAGAGGCGGTCAATAACAAGAGGTAATAATATCGTAATAATATAAGACAAATTTAAAATCTATGTAGAATGAAAAATACAAATTACGCACAGTTTAGCTACAGTGTCAACTTAAGTATAAGATGTTTTAAAACTTTCATATTTTATTTTAGGCATGGCAGCTGTCTTTCTCATCATAATCAGCAAGTATATTAAGCAATTGAAGGCTGAAAGATCCGTATCGCTAGCTGATCATCCGCCCACCTATATAGAATGTCTCATAAATGCTACCAAAACACAGAATGGAGAGAAAAAGGAAGAAATTGTTAACGTTGATGTAGATATAAAGAACAAAACTGATACATCATAAAATGTGACGTCACAAAACTGTATTCCAATAACTTGTAAGAAATTGTATGATTCCTATATAATTTGATCTCCTTATTGTCTTCTTAATATAAATTAAGCTACAATTGAGCTAAGATTAAAATATTCTGAGCTAGCTATCGGTCTGATTATTTAATAGCTAATTTACTACTGATTAACTATTTTTTCGAATTTAGAATCTCGCTTTTTCTCTATGTTAGATAAATATTATAAATAAAAATATACGCATTTTTATTAAACCTTATTGAATCTTATAACGAGTTGTTACTTCTACAACAATTAGTTCATCTATCAAAAATGTACTGTAATACAGTGAAATAAAGTTCAAATTTAACTGCTGTGGTAGAAGTGGTATTATTTAGATGGTTATTGTATCTGGAGAGGGTCCAAAGTACTTAGCACGTTGTGGTAAACATAATACCTGTAATTCCTTCTTTATTAATTTTACCGCAGTTTAATTCACTTTGGGAGACAAATAATTTTGCGTTGGTTTTGAGTGTCGTTACTTCATTAATTAACGTGTAAAATTTTATCACCAAAAGATACTCAAATTTGATATCCCATTTATACAATAAACGTTTTTTTTTATGAAAGAGTAGGATAAACAAGACTGTATTCAAACAAGATGCGCTGTCGGCCTATTTTTGCTTTGTATATTTGAAAATCCACAGACTGAAACGGAAACACGATAAAACTTCACTCCTTTTTCATTTGTGGACGATGGTTCGGACGGAACCTCGATATTCCTGCCACCCATTTATTATCCAGATTTCCAGACGAATGCTTGGAATTGGAATGTTGGACCCGGTGGGGATCGAAGCAACGACCTGTTAATCATTAGCTGTACATTGCTCTCATTACACCAACGAGCACGTCTACAGTATAGAACTCTGAAGTAACTATATATGTGTGTGTGTATATAAAATGTAGTTTATCCTATTGTCTATAAATTGAACTTGGGTACTGAATGAATGTATGTTTATCGCAGAGATATGTTTTTATATATCTCCGAGATAAGTAAATCGCCATCCAAAAATATAACTCTTTATAACCTCTACGTAAAAATGTGTGAAAAACCTAATCAAAAGTGTCTACCGAACACCATTTATATCCCCACCCCCCGGGATCACACTGTTATGAAGACAACCAAATCCTGTAATCCACGAGACATTTATTTCCTCGCGAATCTTTATTATTTTAAAAATACCCTCGCCTTTTTAAATCCTCCGTCGTAAACAGGAAATCATGGAGGGCTTAAGATATTTTCCGCAGACACTAAATATGTGATGCAACTTCAAGGTGCAGTGCTCTTGTTGCTCTGGTTTAGTTCCATACTGTCTATAGTTTACGCGACTAGTACACATTTAAATGAAACACTTTAACGGTTTAAAACGCGATATATTAGTTAAACTTATTTGAAAATGATTTTGACTTCGGCTCGACGTTTCTCGCCGTGACCACGGCTGCTGCAAAGCATCCGAAACGTTGGGCCGAAGTTAAATATCATTTTAATCCGTTCAAACCGTTATCAAATCGTTAAAAGGGTTTAATTTAAATACTACTCGCGCGAAATACAGACAATACATATCGTTTAAGTCACGAACACGTAAATAAGTTTAACTAATACATATCGCGGTTTTAACCGTTAAAAGTGGTTTGTTTTTCTAAAATAAAATCTCATTTATAACGTAATAAAAAAGTAAAAGGCCGTCTTTTCATTGAGGGAAATTCTGATGATGTGCATGAACCAGGAATTTTCATACTTACCAACCGCGTCATAATTTTTTCAGGTAATCCTTCAACTGTAAAACTCTTCTATTTTTGCAATATAGTCACAATAAAAATACTATGACATCTGTAGTCTTTCAATTATCTGTGATTATCGATTATCAAAAAACTTCAAAATAAATCGATTATTCTCTACAACACTACGTCTTCCACAGAATGCAGAAGTTTGACATTGACAGTTATTTTTTAAACCGTGTTTCATTTTAAGCCTTTAAAATCTTTGTAAAACTTTAAAATTACTAAAAAATTGTGAAGTTATTGTGTTTAGAATTGTAAAGTTAAATATAATTATGTGTATAATAATACTGTGAAAGACAATTTAGATAATTGTCTGTTAGTATATTTTCTACAAATTTTGTTGGGACAGAGTATAGTGGAATAATGTGATTGCATATTATAAGAATTATTATTGTTTGTAATTATTACAATGGAATCAACTCGCATTAAATTTTCGGCGTAGTGAAAGAAGCCAAATGATGGCATGGTGCTTACCATATTATTGGTGAGTAAAATTAGGTTTTAATTCTTTCAATATTCATAGCAGCAGTATTTTAATGATAAAATAAGGCTTAATATATTAGAAGGAGGTCTTGAATAAAACACTTAACGGTTTAAAACTTTACTTATTTTTAACAACGACTCGATGTTTCGGATGCGATACAGTACACGTCGTCACGAACGTCAACTTGCTTAAATGTTACGCGGTTTAAACCACCAGATAAACGATTCCCTAATCACAATAATAAGGTTTTTAATCATTTTGATATTAAACGTGTAATTAAAAAAAAGTAAATTAATTTTTTCACATGGATCGCGTTATATAAATTATTTAGATTGAAAATAACAACGAAACGGGCGGAACTTAAATCGGTACCCACAACTATCTATAGCAGAAGCACGGAACGCTGCTGCCCGTACAAGTCCTGCAATTGACGTGATTTTATTTCAATCTATATCAATTTTTAATATATATAATATAGCACAATTACATGTAAAAAATGTTAAAGCTGGGTAAAGGTGGGTAAAATTTCTTAATATGTACCCAATATCTGTCCGAAAATCTACAAATCATTTTCTATAATTCGATAATATCGATCTTGTTTAGAAACAGCACAACAGCAGCATTCACTTATGATTATAGCGTCTACTAATGCTAACTGCATGCAAGTTTTAATTAACCGTTTAATATTTGTGATATCTTTAGTTAATTTAAAAATATATTTTTAGATTATATAGTGCCTTCATGTGCAATAACATGTGAAAAATATTAATGTTTTCAAACTATCTTTAGTTATTTAAATTAGGTTACCATGAAATATTATTGTTTAACATAATTATAGTATTCGTTAGTAGTACCTATAACACTATTTTAGTATTTTTTTTAAATACCTTTGTAATTGTAATTTAAAGGTAATAGAGATCATATTTAAACCAACACGAAACGCCGTTGTCGTGGGTTGAACTGGGTTCGAGTCACCTTCGTGTCATGCGTTTATTTCGATCTAAATATGTTTTTTTTTGTTTACAAACGCACTGGATCAAATCGTCTCGTGCTAACATTTAAGAAAATGAGACTTTAAACTGTGACCTAGCAGCGTTATAATAAGCACATGAGAAGTGTAAACTACGCTTTATAGGATTTTTTTTGGTAAATAAAAGTTTTGTATTGAAACTTTTCGTCAGATCTTTCGCGTTATCGCTTTTACAAATAATTGCTATTTGCAAGTGAGTACAAGAAAATTTAATTGAAAGACAAAGCTACGTGAAATAAAACTCAGCACGTTTGATACAGGTGAAATATCTTGGGAGTTGGGACGTTTAGTGAAGACGACGTACTCCGTAGTAATTTGCATTTACATAGATTAAAGAGTAGATGTTTTAAACTCGACGTCGAGCATAATAAGACCATAAACAAAAATAGAAACAAGTCATTAGTTTAGTTAAAACAAGAGAACATTTAACTTTGTCTTTAAATATGAAAGAAAAATGTATTTGACAAGGTAAGATTTTACTATTATTATAAATAATATTTATTATATCCTTATTTATATTTTAAAGTAGATTTAAATTAGCCGGTTGTCTTGATTAAGATCAATCAAACATTACAGGCTTAATAAAAAACCATATCATTGTTGTTGTATTTTAGAGCGATTTAAGAAAAGCTCTCGTCAAAATCACTATTAAAAAGTGTAGAAAAGTATATAAAACCTAACCTCTTTATGTAGGTCTTCGATTAATGTTTGATTTATAACAAAATAATAATTTATTTCACTGAATTCAATAGGTCTAACAAAAAGAACTTTACCTAATCACATTCTATGCATCACTAAAGTAAGTTTTGTATTGAGGTAATACTTCTCCCGGTTGTGCTATAAAATAAAATTAATAAACGTTTATTCTTTGCTCCACGTCGGTATACTTAATTAAAAGCTTACGAATAAGTGGCCACTTAATTGTATTAAATCGTGCGATACCGCCTAGAGGGCGCTATTCTAAATCATTGTTCTTGTACGTGGGTAGTTGGGAAATGACCAATGGGTAATAAAATGTAAGTTACGGGTCCACGTATTATGTAAGTCATACAAGTAAGTGCTTTGGGTACGCCTATTTTACCGATAGTTTCCTCTCTATATTGAGTTATTTTTCAAAGAAAACGGTCTAAACATGATTTTCAAAACATTTAACTTATTTAAATAATTATTATTTTCGCATACAAAAACTCGCTCAATTTTATCAAGTTTAAAAATCAAAGCTTTACAGAGTTTTAAGACAAGACTTTACATTATATTTGACAAAAAAAAAGGAAAATGCATTTATTTCACTTATAAATAACTAACATATTCACAATTTAGGAACACATTTAACCTAATAATTAAACAAACAAACAATGTTAAATTTTCGTCGTTGCATGCAGTTACAGCCTTTGCAACAAAACACTGTCCGTTACTTTAAATATAAAGCGAGCCAAGTTGAAGGCTGTAATCAACAGTCCTTTGCGAGGCAACTCAGCTTACAAATTAATAGGCTAGCTTTGTCAACCGATTTTAAATCTGCACGAATCGCTTCCCAACAACAACGCCATCCCTTTGTGATGTTACAAGATCTTTTAATTGAATATATTTATTAGTTTAAATAAAGCGGAACGTAAATAAGCAAACGAGACATATTTAAATAACGCACTTTAACGGTTTAAAA